TTTTTTTTTTTTTTTTTTTTTTTTTTTTTTTTGGTTTTTCCTAACACTTTTAGAATGTAAAAATAAAATATATGTTAGTGACAAAGCTCTTTGAATAGTTCAAATTTTTTGTTTTAGTAGGTATGAATGTTACCGAGATCAAGAGGTTATGAAATGTTGAAGAAAGATTTCTTGGTGATAAGAGGACAAAGAGTGAGAGTATTTGTTCTTCTTTTTTTTCAATGCTTAGTAGATTTGTAGTGGAAATTAGTTGGGTCTTAATGGAATCTTCATAACAACACGTAAACAAGGTTTATTGTCGTGTTTAGACAGCAAGGATGGTTGGAAAGGAAGAGGATTTTTTTGTTGAAGGGGGAAGAGGCTACAGAGGGATGGTTTGGTTTCTTCTGTTCAAATGTTGACCTTCATCTCTTGTTCTCAAGCTCTGTAAACTTCGGCCTCTCGTTTATAGGCTATTGCGTATGAACATTATGAAGGAGAGAAGCCAGGAGGATCCAAAGATAACAGTGATGTTAAAAGTGAAGTCTTGGAACCGTTTAGAGGATATGAGAAGAAGGGACGTAGCAGAGGCGGCTTACGGCTTTTAAAAGTATGTTTATAGCAAAGTTGCTGCAGTAACGCTTGTTTGTTTGTGAACGGCACAATCTTTAGGAAAAAAGTTATCTTTCGACAGCGAAGTTGTGGTACTGGTAAAATGTATCACGAGTTCCTTTTGAATACAGCCCCTTTTAAGTTTTAGTAAAAAAAAAATTAAACTTCATAGTTGTTAGGGAACAGAAAAGCGGCACAGTATTCCCAAGAAATCCCACTGGGAGCACAGAACGCTAGAAGTCCTTACTCCAGAAGCTTGGAATAAATTTGGAGATCTTGAAAAACGCGAAATAAGCAACTTGTACATTCCAGATAGAATTCCAACTGAAACAGAAAAGGTCTTTGTTCAAGGGATTTGCTAATTTTTCTTTCTTGTTCTTCTTTGCCTGAGTCTAGAAAAAACTCTCATAAAGTATCCTTCGCTTGCAAAGATTGGTATTTCGCATCATTATTTTAAAAAAATATCGAAGTCAGCGACCTTAGTAAATTGTTTCAGTTACTGTGTGAGTTCCACCCTGAGGTTGGAAGGGTGACAAGGAACCAGTTGAAAGCGATGAGAGCAACGTATGTTAAAACGGAGGTTGAGGATAGTGAAACGAACAATCGTGAAAAAAAGAGTAATTCAAAAAAGGTATTTGTGCGGTTTATTAGAGAAACTTTTCTTTGTTAGTTACTGTATTTGAAGTCGAAAAATAAGGTTGATGAAATATGTTAATTTTATTTTTCTCTAGAGAAGATTTTTAGGGAAAGAGTTCGGCTGCTGCAGATATGAGCTCCACTGCATCGGAATCAGAAAAGATCAGTGTTTTTAGTTTTGAACCTGCAGCTGTAAAACCAGAGTTGGTTTCTGAGGCGCATACTTCACCTCCCACTTCCGAAGTAAAATTCTTTTCTAAATTTTTATTTTTTAGATAGTGGTTACTTTGTTAAAGAATTGAAAATCTTGTGTGATACGTAATTTTTTATCCTTGTAATTACTGTTATGTAATCTTCTGAAATCTGAAGCTTGTGTACTTTCCATGTGCGTTAACTTTTTAAGGCTTTGTTTATTTAGAAAACGAGTTCTGAAATTGGTTTTTCGCTTGCTATAGTCAAAAACGAGGAATCAAATGGGCCGGTATCTGCCTTTGATTCACCGATGACCGATGAGGTTGATACAAATAATGGCTTTGATGACAGTCAGAAGAGGGGTAGAGGCAGGCCAAAGGGTTCAAGGAGGCCGCGTAAGACGTCGAGAGGCTCTTGTTCTAACGGAAAAAAAGTTCCAAAAAAGGCTGGGGCAAAATCGTTACCATCCGCTGGTAACCAGAAAAAGAAAGTTATAGCTTCCGGTAAGGAACATAGCCGCAGTAATGGTAAAGCAACTCGAAAAAGGCGCATGACAAGTAAAAGCGATGCGGCTGACAATGACTTAGAGGTCTGCATTCTATTCATTTATTGAATTTTTATCCTAACATTTACCAGTAACAAGCTACTTTGGGAATTTTGGATGGAAGTTCTTAGATCTAGACAAATTTTAAAAATTATAAATTTAAAGTTGTGTAGGAGGTATTACTGCAATCACAATTAACAGTACTTTCTATTACTTTGCTAGCAGTATACTTCGTGAGGAATGTTCTTGATTCATACTTCTTTTCTAGAAAGTGCCTTTTTCCTCTTGCCTCTATTTTAAATAACTCTTCTTCATAGTGCTTCTTTCAGGCTGCAACTGAGCTCGTTTGTGGTGTTGCGGATGATAAAGGTTCAGCAAAGTCGACCATTTCTCAGCCTCCAAGAAAACGTGTGAGAAAGAAAAGTTTATCTGTCACGCGCTCACATAATAAAGCAGCAGAGAATGTTCCTGATAGCTTGAACTTTGTCGACGGTGATCGTTCTAGTTTGGAAGAGCCTAACGTTGCGTTTAATGAAAATATAGTTGATTTGGAAGTTGGAAATGGTGAGGATAAAACAGCGAGAAGCTCTTCAAGTGAAGATGTGGTTGGGAGCCAGTGTGAGTTAGAAGAGACGGAAGAACGAAGTATTAAAGATAGTTCTTTCTCAGTACGTCAACAGGGAACTAAACGACGTAAAAAATCTGTGCAAAAACTGGGAAATCGGGTTAATTCACCAAACTCATTGGCTGAAACTACCGCTGGGAAAAAGCGAGGGCGACCACGGAAAGCAATGGGAAGAAGGAGCTCTAACACTGTAAAAGAAAATTTGAACGGTCTGCTCAAAAAAGATGCAGTTACTTTTCAGAGTAGTTCTCAGGAAGACAGTTTTCTTGACGTCTCCAAAAGTTCATCAGATACTGAAGAAGGAAATCCTATTATATCGGCATCTGAAGCTCTACCGCCTAGTTCGAGCGTTAGTTTTCTCTGTAGTTTCTTTTAACAGTTGTAGGACCGTTGGTTTCCTTATATTTTGCTGAGAACTTTAAGCATAATGGAACGTTGTTTTTTATTGTTTTTTAAGTCCTTATCGACTGTGTGAAATTTTTTGAAAACTACTCATCATTGTTTACAGTTCCTCAAATGTCGGTTTTTCAATGTGATTTTTTCCTTAATGTGATTTTAAGGAAACAACTTATGCTTCAACGGACAATGTTCCCGAAGTTACTGTGGCTGTGCCCTCTGAAGTCCAGATTGAAATGAAGTTTGAAGAGCAGCGTGGTCACCCGCTATGTGCCGAGTACTCAAACTTTCCTATGCCAAAAGCTTCAAGCGGCATATCCCTTAACGATCTTGTAGCAGGATGCTCTTCGCTAAGGGCTGATGAAACGATTGCACCAGTGAAAACTCTTCTGGTAATTGTGTGATCCGTCTTCCTGTATAGTTGGTTACTTAATTTTCCGTTTTTCTACCACTTGGTGAGAGAGATGGGTTTACTTTTTTTTAACAGTGGATTTAATATTCCTTCAGTTCCTTATTTAAGGCTTGTTTAACTGCTACGTGATTTTATGTTACTTCGTTAAAACTGCTACTTGTGATTGGTATTTAATACTTTCTTTTTGGTTCTACTTTCATCAGCTTGCCAGTGGTTTTATCAGTGGTATTTGCGGTTTTCTTAAATGTGTGGTTGAAGTGGGTCACTTTTTGCTAGTGAATGGGTAGCCCATTTATAAGGCCGATTCTCTCGAGGTGGTCCAAAATAAATTGGTGGGAAGAGCCATAAGAATGAGTTTTCCTTTTAAGATTACGCTGAATATTTTGTATTTGTAGCACTAAAACCCTGTAAATTCAGGATTTGCGAGCAGCCGTTTTGCAAGGTAATATTCCTCTTGCAAAAACTAGTCTACAGCATTCTATGTGGCGCAATAGTGCTCTTCACTTGGATGAAAAACGTTTTGGGAAAAGCTTAGTAATGGAGGTAACTAGTATTTGAAAGCAGCTCTATTGCTTATCTTTGGTGCAGAGTTTTTGGCGAAGTTATCTAAATTTGATCTTTAGGGCAGTTTTTTTCATCGTCTGCTAAAAAAGTTGAGGCTGAAAAACGTCGTTCCTCTCCATTCGATTTCAGATTTGTGAGAAGTCTTGCGATGAAGCCCATATTCTCGATGACATGTTGCGTCTTCTTGTTTATGCTGGCGCCCGGTTAGATATCGTTGATGATCAGCGTGGCCGAACGCCCCTGCATTTTGCAGCAGCTAACGAATTATGGTGCCGAATTCGTGTGTTACTTGCTTTGAGGTTAATCATTGAATTATGCATTTTTTTCAATATTGGCTCACAGAAACTGCTTACTTTTGGTCGTGGGACGTTTTTTAGTAACTTTAACGTTTAAATATTATTAAATACCTTTTTTTTCAGTCTATATGTTAATTTCTTTTCTTAATTTTGTTCGATTTTTCAAGTACGAACTTCAGAGATGAGAAATAACCTAGTTTCTAAAACAGCTAAGGCATATTCAAAAGTAATTAGCTTGTATTCCTCTATTCTGACGGGAATTTGTGTCGTTTACGAGACGATAGTGTTTGGTCAGTGTAAATTTTACACATTAACAGGTCACCTGTGAATACAAAAGATAAAGATGGTAAAACGCCGTTGCAAATTGTCATGTCGAGTCGAGCCTCAAATTTTCACGTTGTACGGGCTATTTACCTGTTACTGGAATATGGTGCTGATGTAAATGAGATTATTGAACGACAACAAAAAAACAGGTTTTATACCGGAACTTTTTTGTATTATTATTAATACCATTTTCCACTCATTGAATGGTCATTTTTGTTTAGTAACAGGCTTAGATTGATCTTGCTTTACAGTTATAATCACCTCAGTTCTTCTGTTTTTATATGCTGTTATTTCTTCAATGAGCTTTTTAGATTTGTCCCACGGCTTATTGACTATCGGGAAAAGCTTACGAAACATTTTGAAGAGGCGAGGCAAAAAGTTTTGATGTTAGTTGTTAACAGATGTATTTTTCCTTTGCTTCGTCTTTGAGAAATTTGATTTCTTAGTAAGATATAGCTATTATCAAATCGTTTTTCAAGTGACATGACAGTGAAAAGATCAATCACTCCTGTAATTGTTCGCGGGATATGGGAATGTTATGGAAGAAACAGGGTTATCAAATATGACTTCAAACATGAATCGAGTTATCTACCTAATATACGATATATGTATGTTATTGTTCTGGCGCTTTTTGACTACAGAGGACCGCGTCTGGTAAGAGTTTAAAGAATGTTAATGAATAATCCTTTATGCTTCTAAGGTTTGCTTTATGGCTTCTTTCGTAGTGAAGTGTACTGTTGTAGTGGAAAATAAGGATGTGGGGTAGCAGTCCATTTGAAAAGGTGTTGCTAAACGGAAAGCCAGCGCGCAGTTTACAGTCGGATGAGAATGGGTTTCTTTACGCAGCACAGCTTCACGATGGGTTTAACCAACTTCATTTACATATGAAGGAAGCTGCTGAGTGGAAAAAGTTGTTAGTACTAACCCAGGTAGTTCAATATTTGTTTAAAGAAAACCATTGGTACACGGATTAAATTTTAGGTTTGGATAATTGAAAAATTTTCTTTATCGATCTTTTGGTGCAGTCTTTTTTCTTTTAATTTCGTATGGCTTTATACTTGACTTGTATTGTAGGTTTTACTTGTTCAACTCCATAAGCCAACTGTTACTGTCCCACCTCCTCCACTTGAAGTGGCTCCTGAGAGTGGCACAGACTGGCGCAAAGAATGATTATACGTGTACAGTTAGCGGCTGTGAACATTTTGTAAGTAGCAGAACTAATAATGTATTCCCAAAAAATATATGTTTTCTATTATTGTACCGTAGGGGTGAGTAGTTGCTATTATTATACACTAACTCTCTACAGGACGTTTCATTGATTTAAATGATAGTGAGCGGATAAATCTTATATATTTTTTTGATACCGAAGTTATAGTTCATTGTGTTTATTCCCTGGTCTGATTCTGGTTGTAGAGGAGCTGGTGCAGCCTTTTGCTGATGTAGTGTAGAAATGTAAAAGAAAGTTCGTGCTCCGAAACGTACCAGTGATACTGTCTTTTTCGGGTTATTTCTGTATAGCTTCAAATCACTGTTTCACAACTTTTCCTGATTTCTACAAGTTGTTGTTATTTCGTTTAGTAATAAAACAGAGTTAGGTCGGCCATATTTGACTTTGAACCGTTCTGCAGTTGCAGCGCAGCCTCTCTTGGAAGGTACGTTTGCTCTCCTTGAGTTTCACTAGTGGATTTAAAGCTTGAGTTAACTTACAGATTTCTTCGTTTCCAAAGCACCTCTGAAAATTCTGCCAACATGAGATGCGTGTCTGCAGGGACAGTTCCAACTCTTCGGAAACGAAACTTGGTGTGGATATGACTCCAGGACGGCTTTCATGTATTTGTGATGCCCATTCTGAGAAGATCCTACTACCATCAAAATGTTCTGTGAACGAGCAGCAGAACTGTCTGGTGAGACGTTAACCGCCATCTTTTTGAGTCACATTTTGTCTTAAGCTAGTCAGTGTTCCTTGCGCATACGTAGTGCAATTCCGGGATATTTTTCTTCCGCCCAGGACGTGCATTTCGGAACCAGCCCATGCTCATTAGAAGCTCTGAGAACAAGCTACTTAGGTGTGTTTAGCTTTATAAGACATCGTGGGTTGGTTTTCTGAGTCACCTGTCTTTTTTTTTTCTGGTTTTTGTTTTTGTAGTTTATGGTACTGTACCGCATAATGCGGATGGTACAAGAAACTCCAAAACGCCTCTACAGAAACAGAATTCAGCAGAAGAAAAACAAACTTGAGTTACAAATCTATCCACCATCTCTAATCGTACTAGAACAGTTGGTTGTTTCGTTCTTATTGAGCATGAAATGGTTTTGGAATGGGAATCCTGGATGGATGGAAAATCCACGAGAACTGCGGAACTACATTAGGCTTCTTCAAGGTGCACGAATTAGCCTGAAAAAACAAGACCTGTCTTGAAACGATGGTGACGCCCTATTCGGATTAACTTACATTCCATTTGCTTGTTTTAATGGCATTCTGATGACTGTAAGATCATTTGGGAATGGGCATTCTGAGAACTCGAAAACCGCCTGGGAATCACAAACGTACAAAGCGTCATGTTTGGAAAGTTGGAAGTGTTCCAGCAGAAATGCTTTCAGGGTTGGAGAGGATTTGGTGAGATTCGGTAATGGGAAGGTCTATGACTTCCTTCTCAAAGTAAATCATTACAGCTAGCTCTTTTACAGTGATGAAAAGGATGTGTCTTCTACAGGTCTAAAATAAGTATTGTCACGCAATTTAAGCTTGTCATCTTTAGATATTTATCTGACTTCATGCCAGATACATCGTGTCTTACGAAGTGGACTCAGTAAGAAAAGCTTTAGAAGAGTTGCTGCAGTTTTCGCACTTAGATCAGTTTATTTTTTAAATATAAAGTACTGGCTGACGTGTGAAACTTATTTTGCAGAGTTTGGGGTAAGTAAAACATTGTAATACGCAAAAGTAAAACGAAAGAGAGCAAAGCAAAACTATAAACTTAAAGAAATCATAAGTGCCAGATTAGTAGATTAGAGATTTTTTGCCTAAAGTATTATTTGATCTCAGTTTGCCTACAAGAGGTAATATCAGTATAACTTTCACAACGTCTAGTTACTATTACCCTGTGTACAGTTGTAACTGTCATTCTTCCTGCGATCACTAAGTAGCACACAACTAGTATTTTGAAGAGTGAATTACACTAGGACTGATTGCGATTTTGAGCGGCCTTGCAGAGTAAAGACACCGCACAAAACATATGAACAGCGCATTAGTGATGTACAGTTCTTGATCGCTCTTAGCACTGTTACCGTGAACTTTATTCTTAGGCTCTAAGAACGAGGTTGAAAATATTTTTTATTTTATTTTATTTTATTTTTTTTTTTTTTTGGGAAAACTGATGTATAACCTCGCGTTTATGAAAATTGAGTATCATTGGAACAGAAAGTATTGTAAATTGAGGATTGGGAGGTCCTCACTGAGAGATCTGAAGGAAAGTGCGTTTCTAGTGGGAGCTCGTAACAGTTACTTTGGTAGAGGTTTTAGGTCCACCTAAATTGTAAGCTAAATTTTATATTTCAAAAAATCTCCTTAATTGGTCCCGCCAGACTGGTTGCCATTCGATTCCTCATGCACGATGGTCTAAAAGTTTTCCTGTAAGACTTGCAGGTAGCTTGTGTTCAGGCTCACTTAAGCCTTAAGCGGACTCTGGATGCCAGCTGTGTGACGCAGGGATGACTTGAATGAAAAATTTACAATTGCAACACAATAAAAGAGCAAACAGAAGTGCTAAACAAATATTAACAGCAGGTCTAACGGAGCTAAACAGAAGAAATTACGGTTTTTTTGAGTCCCTTCCGCTCGCCATCTTCACAACTCCATGATCGACCTATTCCTGATATTTGGCAACAAGCAAAGGTGTATAAAAAGCGTATTCTGAAACTCTTTCAAAGCGACGGGTGTGCCGTGAAACTAAGAGACTTCTTTTGCGTAAAAATCGTTCGCCTGTCCATTATACAACTGTCTCCATGATGAAAGTTCCTTTTCATGTTTTTTTTGAGTGGTAATTTGTGTTGATTTGGAATGTACAAATATAATTCCACACCGTGAGGGCTTCTTTTTTGTTTTCTACGGTACTCAGGTTCTTTTAGCGAAGTTTGGAACGAATCGCGGTTCTGTAAATGAATTTTTTGCTTATCTGATTATAGCCTTTCGACAAGCTTTTCATCAAATGCACAATGTTTCTCAAGCTCTTAGCTAAATATTTAGTGGGACCAAATTTAAAACGTGAATGATAATAAGAAGTTTTTAACTGATAAAAAAAGTAAACTTCAGATTAACCGTACTTGTACTTTAATTGAGCCTTTTTCTTTGTAGTGGAGTTTTTGTTTGCATTTAACAGACGACCGTAAGCATCAGGTCTCATAAGTGTAGCACTGACCCTAAATGCTTGTAACAACAGTGAATTAGATGGTAGTAACACTTGCGCACCAGTTTTTTCCGCTCAAGCTTTTGCCACCGCATATTTAAACATTTGATTCCCCAAACGCCCTTAGAATGTAGTTAAAAAAATTAGTTGTATCGGTAAGAAAAACTTATTAGATTTTTTATTTGGATTATTGTAACTCAAGATATTTAGGGCCAGTGTAGTTTATTTACCAAAATACACTTGCCATTGTATAGCATCAAAAGATGTCGGTCATTCAGCACCGATGGTTTTTGTAAATAACCGGAGTTTGCGGGCGTATAATAGAGGTTATCTAAAATTTTCTAACAGAATATCGTCTTTTTAACTTTTATTTTTTAAATATAACATTTCTGTTGTAACAGAACGCTAAATGACTCACTATTCCAACTTGTTTCGGACTTAAACAGTTTCAACACTAAATGTTTTTTTGCTCTTGGGACTGTAGAAACAGTTTGGTCACCCAATGTTTTCAAAAACGAAAAGTATTTCAAAGACACAATTTCCTTTGTGTGTTTGAAATATTTCTCAGACACAGAGTCGGCTTCGAATCTCACAACTCTGACGAAAGAGTAAATAAAAATGCTTAGAGTTACTGCTATCAAAACTACAAATTTACAGCAGTCAGTTTTTTATTCCACAAACACATCGTTCTTTGCCTTGAAACAGACGTACTGATTTTGAACGTACACAGAAAGCAAGCTACCTTTTCTAAATCCTCTGGAAACGAAAGGCAAAAATAATTACTAATGTCAAAAATTTTGGACAGTTTTATGAATTTAAAATAACCTTGATATAAAACTTAGTCTTGAATACAACGTTTCCTCTGTTATGAGAAATATTAATCACAAAGCATCACCATAACCGGTAGAACCTGATATCAAAAAGCTTGTTTTTGCAGAAATAAATGCTTTCTTAAGACGCTTATACCTACATCGTGAAAACAATAAAATAAAATTTTCAGTTTTTTCTTGTATTTTTTAGATTAAGTGCCATTTTTTTGTCAAGTTAGATTCATTTAGTGTGTTTGATTTATCATTTTGAAAAGGTTTTCCCTCAGTAGACTCGCAAACTGTAGAGCAGAACAATTGAGGCGGGACTTTCAAAATATGCAAATTTACTAAGTTTCAATACTATTTTCGCTATTTTTTAACCCAGCTTAAGCCCGTTTATTAGTTGAAGTGGGCATATACTTTTGAAGCAAAGAGCTAATACAATTTTTCAGCAAAGTATCGGAAAACTAACTGTTGATTTCACGCAAAATTTGCATAACTTACACGCTTCGTGGCGGTTACTTATGAAACATGCACAAGAAAGCGACAAGTAAATGAACTTTAAGCGTGCCCAGTCAGCTTACTGTGAAAATAATTAAATCATTGTATCTGCACGCTGAGAATGCCAATTTGAATAAGTGTGATATATTCTGAACTTTGACTACAGTTAATGGTATTAGCAGACAAGCCAAAATCAAAACTCTTAGGCTTCTTCACTACGCTTTTATTGCAACCAGAATAAAATATAAAATAGAAGAGCATTCAACTAACAATCAAAATACTTTAGAATGAAATGAAACAGAAACATTAAAACCAAAAAAAAAAAAAAAAAAAAAATTTAAGGGGATACCAAGAAATTCAAAATTAATTAGTAGAGTCTAGGCCAACGTACAGAATGTTGAAGAGAGAACCTGGAAAAGTGAATTTTCTGCCAAGTTACATCCTGCCCCAAAGTTACGGAATATACCTTGTTTTTAATTGACTTGCCTATCTTTGGGGAATTGTAGACCAGCTATCCTCAATAAAATTTTCGAATGTCTAGCTCACTATCCTTCCCAAATCCATAATTTAAATAAATGTAATTCAGTTATGTTAACTTATTGCATGGGCACAAAAGCTTTCAATCCAATCCATTCTGCTCCCAACATACTGCGGTTAACTCAGGTCAATATGGCACATCTGATTTACAAAACAGAGGTACCAGTAATATTTTTGTAACACAAACTTAATAAAACAGCAAGTTTAAGCGAAGAATGCATGTAACTCGGAAATTTTACTTCAGTGTTTGAGAGGTCAGCAAAGAAAGAGATTTTTAAGCTTCTTAAATTGTATTCGTGACAACAAACACTAAGTCATTTTGAACGTATTTTTACGCTATTCCTCAACGCTATATTCTGCCAATATTGTTTAAGGAAAAACTTAAAGGTTAAGAAAACTTCTTCTAATTTTATTCGAAAAGATAAATAAAAAAAGTTTTCTTGCGGAGTTTCTTTCAGCATTTTACCGTCTTCTATACAAAGCACTTTAAGCAACCGAAACTTTTTGTCTTTTTCTTGATTGGAAACTTTTAAATATAAAATACCAACAAAGATCAGTGATAATACAGTGGACAGGTAGTTGCTGCTATCGGATGGGAGCGGATACAGAAATGTTAAACAGATGCGAACAGTGATGTTGTATGTGATGAATTCTTCAATGTTATGCGGTTGTTTATTTTTTTAGCACTAATATTTGCAACGATAATCAATGGTTAGAAAATAAGCTTATTATTTTTTTTTTTTCAATATTGATAAAATGTCATTTTTAAAGAAGTGTTATAGTTGAAAATAAAATGGTTATGTTCAATGAAATACAATAATCAAAAGAAAAGTGAAAACAAGAAATTTTTTGAAAAGAAGTCAAAACCTTTACAAAACTATAAACTTTTCACTTTCAAAAATTTCTTTTGTTAGCAAAATTCTCTTTTTTTTTTTTGTAAAATAAAATATTTAAATTTTTTTTTTGATCAAAAGGAAAGAAGGGAAAAAAATTGACTTGCAATGTAAATTTTAGCATTCAGAGTAATTTGTGAAAACAGTGGTAGAGGATTATTGGAGAAAAAATTTGCCTCATCAAATTCGTATTCATGCTCAAATTTAGAAACAGTAAGTTAATTTGCAAACTTTTTTTTTTTTCTTTTTTGTTTTGGTTTTTTACGTTTTAGTCAATTTTTTTTTTTCAGATTATTAATTTACCATTTGAAACTGAAGATGATATCGAAAACTTATGCACAAAAGTTGACAACGGTATTCTTATAGTCGACGGTTTCAACGAGGTACGACAATTGTTCAGTCAGTTTTTACACATTTATTTTACTTTCATTTTTAATAGTTAAATCATTCGTTTAGTTACTACTGTTTTTTTTTTTCTGGCAAATAACGATTGATCAGTTATAATATCAAACTGATTAGCTTTAATTAATCGAATAAAAGAAAGATTTTTTTCTTTTTTTTGCAGTGTTTATATCGTTTATCAGTTGGTAAAATGTACAATGATTACCTTAAAACAGATTGAAATTACAGATTTGATTAGCCAAGATTCTAACGTTGAGAAACTTGTATTTATACCACTGAATGAGAGCAGAGTTCAGTGGACTGAAGATGCCTATGTATCGGCTGGTCAAGCAAAAGCTGACGCTTACGAGTATCAAACGAATCGAATAATAATTGTTAGAGAGCGTACTGATCAATGTTTATTATATCAACTAAAACTGGATAAAAGTAAGTCTACTTTTTTTGCTTTGCTTTTTCTTTTTTTATAATTCTCTGTAAATTATAGAAATTTGAATACAAAGAAAAAACGATGACAGCTCAGTTTGTTTTAGAAAATATATAAAAAAAAAAAGATGGACGAGTTATTTTTGCTTTTTTTTTTTTCTTTTGCAGAAATATGGTTCAAACAAACGAACTGTGATTTGTTGTCGATGAAATTTATTGTTTGTAAACGATCGGTTGCTAAATTCCATTATTGTTATTTTTTCTTTTATATTTAAAATAAATAATATATATATTTGAAAAAAGGAAAAGTTGCTTTTATACAAACAGTTTGAACTATTTATTCACTAATCGCATATTGACAATTTCAGTCTTAATCTGTAAGTCTGTAACTGCTTGTGACCTCATTATTCGTTATAATATAACTGATAATACAAAAACAAAAAAAAAATGAAATTTTTTTCTCAACTTTGTTTTAAGGATAAACAAATAAGAAAAGCAAAGAAGAAAAAAAAAA